ATGAACCTAATATGAACAACTACTTCATCCTTTCCACCCGGTTACATACTAATGCACATAATTTTGTTTATTAGCACCGTTGAGAATACCTTATACGCCAATAGCGTCTGGTAAGTATCCCTTTTATGTTGAAACTATGTTACGTACAGTTCGTCGGATGAAAAGCCAGCCAGGACAATTTTCTGCTTACAGTTGATTAAGAAAGACTTGATCCAGTTAATGGTTTTAGTATTCATTCCATGATCCTTTAGCTATAGCAGGGACGTAGCCTCGGTAATCTCGGTAATTTTTTTTTTTTTTTTTTTTATCTCTGATATCTTCGTAGCCTCTCAGATTTTGTGCAAAAAATGTAAAAATAATATTAATCGTGTATATATAGCTTATAGCTTCTTTGTTTCATAAATATAATATTGCATATTGCAATATTGCGGTTAAATCTGTTAAATTAAGAGTTACCAAGGACCACAAAATGCTGCAAATCGCATTTCCGAGAGACTGAATTTCAAATTTTCTCGAGGGGGAATGCCCCCTAGTTCCTACCGCCTTTGGCGGTCGCTTGCCCCGGTATTCCGTTTACTCTTGCTACGGCCCTGTATAGCTTGTGGATTGGAAGTCGATGACTTACTGTAGTCCATAACTCAGATGCCGTTTGTAAGCCATCATGCATATTATTTATGATGTCTAGTGGAGATTTTTTTTTAATTTTGCCTGGCAAGAATTTTTTTTCGGCCCTTCGGGCCGTGCAAGAATTTTTTGCCAATATCTTCCACTACCACCACCCCCTCAAAATTCAATGAATCACACCTACCAACAAGGTGACACTGCTCCAACGCTTAACATCTATAGCACAAAGCAAATTACATGAAAAAGTAATRAAAAACGTTGTTTTCATTTCAAAATTTCTCAAAGTAATCTAGTTAACCGTGATTCGAAAAAATTAGTCGTGTGTCGTGAAATAGCCAAATTTTTAGCCGTGAGTCGTGATGCGTACTACCCCATTGAGACCCTCACAGTTGCCCAAGTGTGTAATATACTTACAAAAGTTAGGACATAAACGCAAAATTATTGTGATTTTAATTTGATATTATGNAATATSTGCTCATAGACCTTCGCTAGTTTTTGAAGATGACAGACTATGTGGCATTTTCAATGACAAAGAAAAAACGAAAATACTTATGACAAGGTCAAGATTACGTTACATCCATATTCGGCAAATTACGTGAGAGATCACGTTTGTAGCGCGCGCTTTACGCAAGTAATCCAGTTCTGATCCAGATTCGGTCGTGTTTGGTTATGTTATCTCTCTGTTTCTCCAACCACTTCACATCAATATGAACCTAATATGAACAACTACTTCATCCTTTCCACCCGGTTACATACTAATGCACATAATTTTGTTTATTAGCACCGTTGAGAATACCTTATACGCCAATAGCGTCTGGTAAGTATCCCTTTCATGTTGAAACTATGTCAAGTACAGTTCGTCGGATGAAACGCCAGCCAGGGCAACTTTCTGCTTACAGTTGATTAAGAAAGACTTGATCCAGTTAATGGTTTTAGTATTCATTCCATGATCCTTTAGCTATAGCAGGGACGTATCTAGTAAGAGGCCAACCGAGGCACTCGCCTCGGTAATTTTTTTTTTTTTCATGTCTGATATCTTCGTAGCCTCTCAGATTTTGTGAAAAAAATGTAAAAATAATATTAATCGTGTATATATAGCTTATAGCTTCTTTGTTTCATAAATATTGCATATTGCAATATTGCGGTTAAATCTATTAAATTAAGAGTTACCAAGGACCACAAAATGCTGCAAATCGCATTTCCGAGAGACTGAATTTCAAATTTTCTCGAGGGGGAATGCCCCCGAATCCCCCTAGTTCCTACCGCCTTTGGCGGTCGCTTGCCCCGGTATTCCGTTCACTCTTGCTACGGCCCTGTATAGCTTGTGGATTGGAAGTCGATGACTTACTGTAGACCATAACTCAGATGCCGTTTGTAAGCCATCATGCATATTATTTATGATGTCATGAAAAATGAAGACGAGTAGTTAAGTCTCACACAATCCCTGAAAAAACTTGGCAAATGGACAAATCTACAGTTGCCCAAGTGTGTAATATACTTACAAAAGTTAGGACATAAACGCAAAATTATTGTGATTTTAATTTGATATTATGCTGTCTTCGTTATAGTGGGTCTTAAGTCAAATAATTAATATAACACTGTTTAGATTTCTTGTCATTGTTAGCATAGGTGACATTTTCGAAAGATTGCGAGGCAATCGAGGTGGACGAATCTGTCACTCACTAAGTCAGTCACTCACTTCCCTTTAAATTTGAGCCTGAGTTACTTGTGTTCAGAATTAATAGCAATTTATTCACTAATTTGGCGCTACCGGTTTCCCTGTGATATTTAATTTAATTTTTTTTGCAAATAAAGAAATAAAAGTAACCTGGGCCCGTTGGGACGGAAATCAAAGTCACWATTACCACTCGTCCATGCTTGCTAATGTTGAACAATACAACTAGACTTGTCCATTAAGTGCCAGGCGGTCGCCGCTGCTTGTCTAGAATCGAGGTTAAAATAATAGGATTTTAAAATTCCATTTGTTAAGTAATTCTAATTTGATTCATCGTATATCATTCCGTATTCGTCTACAATCCATCTTCGAGTTGTGTTGCCATTGGCGGCTWGATTTAAGCTTTTTACYCTAATCTCGACTTTTAACACCACCCTCCACTTTTTATTCCGGGCTTTTATTCCGACTTCTAGACACACTTACTCCTTATAGGAAACACAAAATATAGAGAAAGCATTAAAGT